CTCCCTTCTATCCTCCCCCCCTCCCTCCTTCCCTCCGTCCTTTCCTTCTCTTTCTTTTCTTTCTTGTTTTCTTTCCTCTTGTGCCTGGAATCATGGCATTCTGGTGCTGAGTAGCGCCTGTTATTCTGAATTGTTGCGGGCCTCGGCTGTCTGTGGAGCAGGCTCCTGTGGACCCCTGCTGTTTGGGCCACATCTGGCTCTCTGCATGATGATTTGCTGGCTTAGATCTTGTCAATACAGAGGAGATCCCAAGGGAAGGCCCTGGCCAGTGGTGGCTCCTGTTGGAATCCAGGGCTAACGGGTCAAAGCCACAGATGGGGGGAGGGGGTGTCGATCTCTGTGGCCAGACTGCGCCTGAGCTTCCCCCAGCCATTCTTAAGAATGGTGTGGACAAGACCTCTGAGAAAATCCCCCTGCAGGAATTTAGTATTCCTGCCGTCCTGTTGATTGGTTATTAGCCTCTGAGGAATAGAAGCGTTACCAAAACCAAGTAAACTGTCTTCCTGGCATTTTATACAACAGCACAAAATAGACTGTCTGATTTGAACTAAATTCCTGACTCTTGTTCTTCCCTAGATTTGGACAACACTTCTGTGGAGGCACCTTGATAGCCCCGGAATGGGTGCTGACCGCTGCCCATTGCTTGGAGAAGTATGTTCCTAGGCAATTGGCATAAACCTTGTCCTAAAGATTCCCTCCCTCCCTCCCTCCTTTCCCTCCCTCCAAACCCAGTCCAGTGACTCTATGGCCTGGACAATGCATTGGCTGCCACGGGTGTTAGTCTCTGTCCCCTCCTCTCACAGCAGTTCAAGATCATTCCTTAACTTCCAAGTGTAGGCTCATCACACATTTTGTTTCCCACCACTCAGGACTCACTGATTCTGGTGGTTATGGGTCTAAACAGAGGAAGGGGAGGGACTCTTTCCCCTCTTGATGTCACCGTCTTTTCTAGGTCTTCCAGGCCTGCATCCTACAAAGTCATCCTGGGCGCACACAAGGAAGTGAATCTGGAATCCCATGTTCAGGAAATAGAAGTGTCCAGGCTGTTCCCGGAGCCCTCCAGGGCTGACATTGCCTTGCTGAAGCTGAGCAGGTATCACCCACGCCATGCCCCTGTGCCCATGCCCGGAGCTCAGGGAAGTCCTTTGCTTTTGCCTGAGGTTTAGGAGCTATAACCATGGAGAGGTAGTGGGAGGAGCCGTAACCATGGAATGGTAGTGGGGAGGTGCTGGCGAGGATAGGAATGGAGCTGGGTTGTAGCGAACCACACCAGATTCATCAGAAAACCAGGACATAGCCGCAGGCCTGCCCCCTCCATGTGGTACTAAGAACAGCACTAGAGCTCAGTTTCCTCATGCAGAAAAAGAGGAGGAGCAGGAGGTGTCCCATGGTCCCACAGCTCACTCAGTGCTAAATGACATTCACAGGATTAGCAACCATGACAAGTCTCTTCAACAAAATTGAATGAGATTATATATTCCAGAGCCTTTAAAATCCCATAATGCCAGGCGCTGGAGGTTCACACCTCTGATCCTAGCTACTCAGGAGGCTGAGATCTGAGGATCACAATTCAAAGCCACCCAGGCTTATTTCCAGTAACCACCAGAACACCGGAAGTGGTGTGTTGCTCAGGTGGTAGAGCGCTTGCCTTGAGCTGAAGAGCTGAGGGACAGCGCCCAGGCCCAGAGTTCAAGCCAAATCACCGACAAAAAAAAAAAAAAGAATAACAATAAAATTATATTTAAAAACAGAGTGAGTGAGAGAGAGGGAGCGAGAGATAAATCTTAAAAAAGCAAAACAAAACATGCACTAACAAGTCACAAAGGCAAATTCTAGCACTATGATCTCCCATGGTTTCGTTTTTTTTCCTGCTGAAGTGGCACGGGGCTACATTTGCTTCTACCACAGTGTTAGAAATGTTTGGAAACAGTAGAGACAACTCACCCACAGATTGTGTTGAGAAAAGCTCATTTAGGACAGGCCACGGGCACGTGCGGACGGGTTCTGGATGAGGGCGTGGCGAAGCCAGGCTGGCACCATGCTGGCAGTGGGGAACTGGGCAGCGGGGAAGCTGGCCTGGGGGCTGCATCTGAATGCTGTTCTTCTAGGTCTGGTCCACTCCTGGGGGGGGGGCATCCTCTCTTATCTGAAACCTGAGCAATGAGGCTCTAGAAAGAAAGAAGGGGCCTTAGTCCGAAATACAGCCAATTCCCACGTCCCCCCACGGACACCGGCAAGCCGGCATGCGTGTCAACACAAGGGCGCCTCTCCTTGTGGTCTGGGGTGCGGGCAGAGTGAGTGGATGTCTCGAACAAGTAAGTTAGCGAAGTTTGGTCCCAGCAGTGTCCTCCAATAAGCCAGGTATGCTTTGAGATCTCATGTATGCACCCCACACCCCACACCAGCCCTAAAGGGGTACACTAGGGAACTTCATGTCTAGTAAAGAAACCTAATACTAACCTCTCGGAGGCTGAGTCCACACCGGTGTCTCTGGAGAAGCAGAGGTTTGAGGTTGGTGAGGATGACTCACCAAGTCATGGGGCTTGAACTCAGGGCCTGGGCACGGTCCCTCAGCTCTTCAGCAAAAGGCTAGTGCTCTACCACTAGAGCCACAGCACCACTTCTGGTTTTTCTGGTCGTTTATTGGAGATGAAAGTCTCACAGACTTTCCTGCCTGGGCTGGATTTGAGATCCTCAGATCTCAGCCTCCCGAGTAGCTAGGGCTGGTAGACCAGGGCTGATGAGGGTTCAAAAGGTGGAGCGACTTGCTCTACCTATCTGAGACTCGCCACACCTGCAGCCTGAGGCACACCTCAGATGTGGCCAGATGTTCTGCTTCTGACCACTGTGCTCCTAAGTCAGAGTAAATGATGCCCTGAGCAGGAAATTCCAGTCATGCAAATGTCCCTGCAGATGGAGGAATGCGCTCTCTATTTCTCTCTCTCTCTCTCTCTCTCTCTCACACACACCATACACACACACACACACACACACACGCGCGCGCGCGCGCTTTTCAAATAGAATCTTACATTTGCTTAGCTCGTGGGAAACTGAAGGCCACCTTGAGGTGAAGAGTTCTTTCCCCACGTTGTTCCACCAGTGAAGCAAGGAACACTTGGAGGGAGGGAGGGAGGGAGGGAGGGAGGGAGGGAGGGAGGGAGATGTGGAGGTGGGCCGTCCATGGAGGAAGGACACAAGGCCCCAGCAGGCGACTCAAGGCTAACGGTTGCTGTTTTCCTTCCAGCCCTGCCGTCATCACGGACAAAGTTATCCCCGCTTGTCTGCCATCCCCCAACTATGTGGTCGCTGACCGGACGGTGTGTTACATCACTGGCTGGGGAGAAACCCAAGGTGAGACCAATTCCAGGGTCCTTGCCAACCGTCTAGGTGACAGTCGAGCATTTGGGGAGAGAGCGTTCAAAGTCTTGTCTGTGGTCCTCTCCACCCCGGTCCTGATTTTTTCTGAGCACCTGTCTGTGTCTCCATAACCTGTCAGCCACCAAGGATTGTGGGCAAGGCGGGGTGGAGGGGGGGGACGGAGGGTGGAACTGATCCATTGACTCTCCTCACCGTAGTGGCTCTCCTGCCACCCCAGGAAGAGGATTTTTGACCCAGGAAGTGATTATTTTTTCATGTGCAAGCAACAAGAGCACCAGTGTTCTTCCCAAGTAGCTACATGTCTTGTGCATAACATGCCGAGGGCTGGCATTGTGTTGGTGGAGGGGTGAGGCGCGGGGAGAAATCCTCACGTGGAACCTGTTGCCGAGGCCCGTGTTGATGCTGGGTGTCCGAAGGATGCCGTAGGACCTCTGCCTCCCTCTCAGAAAAGTCGGAGAGGGAACTGGCTCTATCTTGAGCTAGAAAGCATTTACAATTGGAGAAAAGTTTGGTGGCCTAAAAAGCAAGCCAGCAAACAAACAAAAACAAACCAAGCAACAACCTAACATTAAGTACTGCCGGCCCAGATCACTTAGAAGCTGGCTTTCCTCCGCTCACAGATTTCCTCTTTTTCTTTTCCACACTTCTGAGTCTGTGATGCAGAGACCAAGGCAGGGAAACGGCACCAACAGAGGCTCCCAGACCTGGCAGTGCCTGGGCTTTGCATTGAAAGCTTGAATGTTCGCTCCTGTGAGTTAGGTATTAGTGTTCCTACTTACTGACGAGGAAGCTGAGGCCCGAGAAGGTGAAGGTTTGGCAGAAACTTCCCCAGCTTCCTTTCCTCAGGCAGAAGTACTGAGCAAAGCCCCAGGGATGGGTTCCTAGGCTGAACAATGAGCTGTGCACTGTGGCCGTAGTAGTTGTAGAGGGAATGAAGGAAGCAGACACACGTGCCACACTTTATGAACGGCCATGGTGACTACAGATAGGAACATAGTCACAACCAATAATACCACTCTTTCTTCAAGTGCCAGGAAGTCCAATTTAAATTAGACTAAGCAAACAACCAAAACCAAAACCAACCAAAAGGAAGGGGTGGAATTCACATGGAACGGTCAAGTCTGCTGGCCCCCACACTGGGCCTGGGCGTGGGCCCAGTCCAGCCATGGTCAAGGTACCAACTGGGCACACATGGGCCCCCTGTGTGGCCGCAGAGCTGTGCTGGCTCTGGGTCTGCTCAGGGGAATGAAGGAGACGACCTTCCCCAGACCGTACTGTGCCCAACTCTGGGACCCTGGACTCAGGCTGCTTCAGAACCAGTCACAGCCGGCTCAGGCCTGCATCATCCGTTCCTCTTGTAGCTGGGGCAGACCCCCACTCACTCTCAGAGGGGGTAAGGGGTCGGTCCCCCAGGAGGATTATGGAATGTGGGGTGCGAAGCTACCAAGCCGGCAGAAAAAAATGAACATATGTCCTCCACCGTACTTAAGGGAGATCTGAAATGATAAGGATCTGGGAGTGAGTTCTGGTTCTACCACCTATGTGACACTGAGCAGTTATTTAGCCTCTTGAAGGTTCACTGTTCCTATCTGTACTACCTTATCAGGCCATTGTAAGAACTAATATTATGTACCAGCACCACCATCATTATTATCATCGTCATCACCATCACCATCATCATTACCACCATCATCAATACCATCACCATGGTGACCACCACCATTAGCACCATCACCATCAGCAGCACCATCACCACACCATCACCATTACCATCATCACCATCAGCATCGGCATCATTAATCAACACCACATATCACACAACCCGTGTGTACTTGAGCCTGATAAAACCCCAAGGGACTCCCCCCCCCCCGCCATGGTCCATCCCCTTGTATTTCTGACCACTTGCTTGCATGAAACAACCTCTCACTCCCAAGCCTGTCACCCATCTCCTTGGAATATTAACCGCACTTGGGAGAATCACACATCTCACTGCACAAACAATGCTGACCTATAGTCAGTCGATGCTCTCAGCCTCTCACACAGATCCAACTCCTCCCTCTCTTGCCTTTGTGTCTACAGATGTTCCTCGACTGTCATATTCAAATGGAAAGTGTTGAGGTGAGGGGATCTTCCAGCTCCGCTCAGGTGGCTGGGTGCTCTCAGGGCACCTGCTGTGGCGGGGCTTTTCGGCTTTCCCGTGGTCCACTCCTGTTACCTCCCCTGAGCTGTCCCAAAGGCAGATGCCAGCTCCCAGCCCTCAGAAGTGCTTTCTCTATCCAGTCACAGGATGGCAGCACCTCCGCACAGACCACATGAACTTCCTGCCACCCGGCAGTGTGCTCACACACAAGAACACTCTGCATTCACTGCATTAGCTAGCTTTCAGCTTCTACTCTTCTACTAACTCCAGACCACACTCTTCCCTGCTCGCCCAGGGTTTAGGAGTCGGGGCCTTCCTCCTCACAGACCAGGACTGAGCTCTGCTTTGGACAGGACATTCATTCACACAAGCCCCTTATGGACCCCTGTGAGGTCCAGATTGAGTGCAAGTTTTTTGGGCTGAGGCAATCATCCCAGGGTAGTCCAAGTCTTGGGAAGGGTTAGTGGGCCTTTCCTTGGCTGTCCTCTGTAAGCATAGAAAAAAAATGCCTTGCAAAACTTGGAGAAAAGCCAGGCTTGCAGAAGGAAAACGGGATGATCTCAGAACCCCTGAGCTAGCCCAGGCCCGGGTGTGTCCTTCAGGAAAGACAGCATTTACCCCAGCGATTCTGCAAGGGCCCCATTTCAGTCTGCAGAGCCAGAGAAGCGGCTCTACCCACACCCGTCATATGAGGTCATACAGCCAGTAAAACACAACGCTTTAATTGTCAAACCAACGCATGTTAGAAAACGAATCTGAATATACTCACCTGTTACACTAGCTAATACGCTAAAAGTTAAAATGTTTTAATAATAGTATACTAGGAATATTTGCAAGGGTATGATGACAATTTTCTAGAGCATTTTAATACACCTTAGCCTTTTAGGCAATCATTTGGCAATGCTTTGAGGAACCGTAAATACGTCTATATGATTTCCGGGAACTCAGACTCAGAATCGCACAGAATGAGGACAAACTATATGACAGAACATTAAGACGTGAGACGCAAGAGCAGGGCCGACCTCTATAAGCCTCAGTGTCCTTCATTAAGGGCCTGCTCCACAGGACTGGAGTGTGGGGTAAGGTGAAGTGCATATTATGAACTGATGCCTGGGTTAGCTCTCAGTGACTGCTAGCTATTCTCGCTTTTTATTGCAATAATATATACACAATATAAAATTCACTGTCTTTACCAATTAGAAGGGTACATTAGAGAGGAACTTACAACAATCACGATGTTATGCATCTGACCACCACATTTTTTGTATTCCAAGAGGAAACCTCAAAAGCATTATATAGCCATGCACCATCAAAATATTATAACAAAATTGTAGTATTACATTAAAAAGTCCTTATGCTGGGCTGGGAAGGTGGCTCAGTGGTAGAGAGCTTGCCTTGCATGCATGAGGCCCTGGGTTCGATTCCTCAGCACCACATAAGCAAAAAGAAAAAAGCCAGAAGTGGCACTGTGGCGCAAGTGGTAGAGCGCTAGCTTTGAGTTGAAGAGCTGAGGGACAGCGCCCAGGCCCAGAGTTCAAGCTCCACTACCGGACCCAAAAATAACCCCCCAAAAACAAAAAACAAAAAGTCCTTATGCTGTAACAACAAATGGGAAGGAAAGATGTCAAATCATGAGCTTCTCTATAGCCTGAATATATACAAATAGCAGCAAGGACATTTTTCAAACTCTCCTCACATACTAAATTTATTTGTTTATAGATGTTAAAAGTAAGCAAACAATTCCTCAAACACTATCTGGAAGACTCACAATGCCTTCTGTAAAACAAAATATGCTGACAGCTCCTCCTTGTGTTATTCAACCATGAGCACAAACAAGACCTGCCATTCTGCTCTGATGCTCTAGAAGTTTCCTCAGGATTATGTGTTGGCTTCAATGACCATTTCTTTACTCTTTCAACACAGGAACCTTTGGTGCTGGCCTTCTGAAGGAGGCTCAGCTCCCTGTGATTGAGAACAAGGTATGCAATCGCTATGAATACCTGAATGGAAGAGTCAGATCGACGGAACTCTGTGCTGGACATTTGGCTGGTGGTACTGACAGCTGCCAGGTAAGGAAAGTCTGAAGAAGACCCACATTGGTTAGAAGTTGGCCTGTCTCAGCCTCAAGTGGGAAAATCAAGAGGGTTTGCCAACCCGAGGCCCCACATCACTGTTGAGAAACTCTGTGGTCTGCCCCTGAATACCTAAGATCATCACTGAAGGTGAATCTCCAGGAGCTTAGTTCTAGTCAGGCAGTCAGGAAGGGGTCCCAGTACCACAACTTCCACAGGTCACATGACACTGTGGGTTTTTCCAGCAAGAAGGGAGATAGAGAATCCAGGATGGAGAACAGTTGTACTTCTCTACAACTATGCTCAGGCCCGAAAGAAACCGGAGCAGGAGTGGACAAGGACAGTATATTTACGAGGGATTGTTTCCCAGAGAAAAGGAAATTTGTGGTTTTGCTGCATATATTCTGCTAAGAACCAGAACATTTACCTGTTCAAATGATATGTTTGTAAGATCCTTTCCAGTTTCAAGTTCTGGGAAGACTTGTATACAGTTCGCAGAGATCTGAAATCCCTTATCAAAGGCAGCCTCTTCATCCTCATAAAGACCCTTTTCCCTCCTTTTCCAGGGCGACAGTGGAGGGCCACTGGTTTGCTTTGAGAAGGATAAATACGTTTTACAAGGAGTCACTTCCTGGGGTCTTGGCTGTGCGCGCCCCAATAAGCCTGGTGTCTACGTTCGTGTTTCAAGGTTTGTTACTTGGATTGAGGGAGTCATGAAGAATAATTAACTAAAGTGGAGCATAAACATACCTTAAGCATAGACTTACCTTATGTGCTGGAACTCGGGTAGGGAATTCAGAATGTCACAGATAATCAATAGTAATTAAACTAAGACCCTGTACTTAGCCAGTGTCTGCTGCCAGACCCCAGCATTTTTATTTTTTGTATTACTGTGAATAAATTTTTTCCTGTCCATAAGCTGCTGGATTCTGTCATACCAAGACAACATAAGCGGGATGTTGTTGACAATAAACTGTACTTACATTGATTTCATTTAATTTTTTTGAGGGGGGGAAGCTTCAGTATTTTCATGCTCTTCATTCACCTTATGAATTTTTAGTGGACACACTGGAGTTAGCTTGTTTTAAAAAAGCATGCAGGATGAAGCAGCAAGATCTCAGAGAAAGATCCTAGTATGTCGCTTATACTGTGACATTGCTGCTGAAGACAGCCTGACACACATCTTCTGGTTCTTCTGGACTTGCGAGGAACGGGTTCAAAACCACCACATGTATGGGGAGCCAGGACAACAAGTTCTCTTCTTGGGCATTGTACTGATGACTCAGCTTCAGCCCAGCTCAGGGGACACCGAGCAGAGATTATGGCACGAGTGGGGCGATGGAAGTGTGATAGAAGACCAGCTGAGTCTGTGCGTCCTTGTGGGTCCTACCCTAGTGCGGGCAGGAATGGTTTCACACACCAGTGCTGAAGGTAGATTGTTTCTTTCCCATCATGAACTAGCTTCCACATTTGGAAGTGGCATGGAGCATGTGTTGCCACACAGAAAGAGTGTTTTAGGGTGACACATGTTTGGAAGAAAGAGAAAGGAGGGACTGTTGTTTTTTTTTTCCTTAACAATTTAAACTTTGTTTATTGTTACCAAACAAAAATATTAACTCAAAATACAATCCAATGATGACAGATACCAAAGAGCAACAGCCATTTTGTGGCAAAGAGAAGCAAAACTTCAAATGTGTATGAGTGCAGGGTGAATACGGTATTACATTTTCAGAAGTAGAAACATCACATTCAATTCTGATGTGCCTGGTGGGTTAAAAAGATTATTTTACAATCAGCACATACATCTTATATATGATCACACACACAGACACACACATTCGCCATGTATATATTTCTTCCTCATTGGTAAGGTTAACCTTTGGTACCCATTTTATCTGTCCACACAAAGTCTATCATTAAAAAAATCAGCATAGGGTATGTACTGAAAAAATATAACATATAAAGTAGAACAGTGTATTGTGTTTAAGTCCCACATTTCTTGAATTAGAAGTGTCTGTGTTTTTTTGTCCACATTTTTTCTCCACTCTTGATCATGGGCACCACCTGAACAAATGTAACATCAATATCCTTTTATTTTTAAAATCATAAAACCCAGGAAATCATAATCCATGGTTTTTTGTTTGGTAAGGAGTAGAATTTAGGGCTCTTGGTGTCCACTAAAAGAAGAAAAAAATATCCCAAACTTACTGTATAAATAATAGAGACAAAGCCTCAAATCGTACAGCAGGCCTGTTCTTATTTAGAGAACATGGCCTTGAACCTCAGGTGCTCAAGAAGAGGTGGGTGGAGAGGACATCTGACCTGTCCACCCTGCAAAGACTGTGCAAGCCAAGGTAGACTGAGAAAGCTGGTGCCACCCACAAACCTTTATTCACCAAGGCTCCTCAGAATGCTGGGTTTGGTGTTCCGTCCCTTGTCAGATTGGCTGAAGGATTTCTGGGCCTGTCCTGGCTCCTTGATTGCATGTCATCTGCCTCTATCCTTGCTGGAGCTTCCTGAGACTGTTACAGCCTTTCATCTCCCTGCAACCCAGGGGGGAAAAGGCATTGCTCCAACCCAAGAGAAAACCCAGAAAGGGTGGTGTGCACCTAAACGAGCTTTGCTAAAGCAGCCACGCGTGTTCCTCATGGTAGCGTGAAAGCACTAGCTCATCCAATATCATATAAAAATACTCCAGACAGTGCGTCTTCGTATGGTGCAGAAGATGCTTAGAAGGGCACCGTGGGGCAGAGCTGACGTGCCCATCCCTCCAGCTCAGCTTCCGGGGGAGGGGGACAGAGGGAAGGAGGGAGGGAGACATCCGCACAATGCCTTCCTTCCGGCTCTGCGGGGGCCTCAGACATGAGAACTGGAAACCTGAATATTCTTTTTCCTGCCACACTGATGAGAATGTGAACTGACAAAACAAAAGAGAACAGAAAAAGTCCTTGTGAATGATTATGCAACCCCTTAGAGGAAACAGCTAAGTTATACAGTGATCTCATTGTTCCAATTTCTGACACTATTTTGAAAAATCAGATTGATTAATCATCCCCAGAACTTTCCTAAGAAAGACTTACCGTGCTCTCAAAACAAAAATCTCCAGCCACAACCTAGGGATTGGCTACCAATGAATCAGACCAATCGGAGAACAGCTGGGCATTCCCACCATCTGTCTTGTCTGCCTATCATCTGTCTGCCTACCTATGTATCTATTTTCTATCTTTGGTCTATATATTTATCTTTGTATCTAACATCTATCTTGACTTCTTACTATCTCTTATCTATGTATCTTATTATCTGTCTTATGTCTATATATTTACTTATTCATGTTTATATCTATCTTCTAAGTGTCTGTGTTTCTCTCTCTCTCTCTCTCTATCTCTACCTACCTATCTATTTTTTGATCTGTTGTGTAACCTCTGATTTCTTTATCTGCCTATCTTTCAACATTGTTTGCATTTCATCTGGTGTGTGAACAATCTTCACTGGCTCCTTATTTCATTCCATACAGACAAACTCAATTTCTTTTTATCTCTGTGGAGTAATGCACATTCTGAATATATTATAAGTTTCCGCCTGTTCTCTAATAGCCCACATTTAAATTATTTCGTTGACACCTCATTAGTCCCTTTCTTTAGTTCACGTCTGAGTTTTAATACCTTAATTGGAGATGCTCTCAACCACATTTTAAAAATAGCACATATTCTTTTTAAACTTTTTTTTTTTAGGTAACCTTTTAAATCTACCTTGAACTTCTTTTGCTTAGGACATGATATGAAAATCTGATGTTATTTTTTTCCCTATGAATATTTGGTTTTCTTAATAACACCTTTCCCCTCGTGGCTTAAATTGCTGCTTTCACTTAATATGTACTGAATTTGAACAATACCTGCCAAGTTTTTCAACATCATCCACTGTTTCTGGCAAGGCGATACCTTTGGTTTCAGGTAAGAGCATCACAAGGCCACCACAGACGGATGCCAGCACGCCTACAGAAAGGGGACACATCACAGCCCAGAATCAGCCAGGCCCCTCGCCCCCACTCCCGCTCCCTCAGTGAGCTGCGCTGCTCGCTGACCTTACGTGACTCAGCGATGGCATCGGCCATCCTCTGCTAACCAGCACCCGCTCTTACACTACCTTCCTCAAATCCTGGTCACCACTATGGTCCCTGTGCTTGCTCATTTAGCACACACTTGCTCGTCATGTGACCATAATCATGGGCACGGACTCTGAGAATTGTGTCTTAAGGTGATTTCATTGTGGTGGGAACATCACAGAGCATACATATGCAAACAAGGATGGCCATGACGTCACTAGCCAATCTGATTTTATGTGGCCATCACTGTGACCACTCTGGGCATGGCGGGGGGGGGGGGCAGATGCTGCTCTGTTTCCTGAGAGCCCTGCCTTGCAAGGAAAATATAACCAGCAGAGAGGAATCCTTCCAGTTCTGTTCCCTGATAGTTAGTGCTGTGTTGCACTCTTTCCTTCTGCTCCTCCCGTCATGTCACACTGTAAGCCTTAGCTCTGCCCAAGAGCGAGGCTTCATCCACATGTGTCTCCAGGCTCCTACTACATGATTAATTTACTTTGTCCTGATCTCCAACCTGCTAAAAGAATTCAAACACCTTGGGCTGGGAAGGTGGCTCAGTGGTAGAGCCCTTGCCTTGCATGCCTGAGGCCCTGGGTTCGATTTCTCAGCACCACATAAGCAAAAAGAAAAGAGCCAGAAGTGGTGCTGTGGCTTAAGTGGTAGAGCGCTAGCCTTGAGCTGAAGAGCTGAGGGACAGCACCCAGGCCCAGAGTTCAGGCCCCACGAATGGACCCAACAAAACAAAACAAGAATTCAAACACCTTATACTCTTGTCTTCAATGGGCTGTCGGCTGACCTCTCATCACCCTTCAGTTGCCACCACCCTTGAAATGTTGTCCTCGATCAGCTCCATGACTTCGTAGTCCTCATGGGGTATTGGTAAATGATCAACAACCACCTCCAGAAAATAAAGCCCTGACCTGAAGCTTTGTCTACTCCATGGGTGGACATGCTGAGCTGCCCATGCGGCCTCTTTGAACGTGGCACTGAGGAGACATGGGTAGTAGAGCTCCGTTCAAAGATATCCCCACCATCAAGGTAGCGCAGGTACAAAGTACCTCCAGAACACACATTCCAGCACCAAACATGAATGAAGAACCGAGGAAACGTGTTTACGAACCTCTGCTGTTAATGGATAGCTCTACCCTATGTTTTTAAATAACGGGTATATTGAACAACTGGCTCACAAGCTTCTTGAATATGTGACCTTTGTCCTTGGTGAGCTGGTCCAAGCCAATTCCAGAACATCACGTACATCACCCCGCCCTGCTGCAGTGTAAGTCCCACTGCCCGTCCTCCCAGCCCTGTTCCAGTCACCAACCCACCACATCCCTCTCCCAGAGCCAACGACCATGCTTCTCATTCCTACTGACCAGCCTGCCTCATCCCCGCTTGCCCTGCTTCCCCCTTCTCTCCTCACCCTGGCCCTCAGCTCTTACATCCCACCTGCTGGTCTCTGCTCCAGTCTCACTTGTGATGGGCATTCACAGGTCTCTAATCCTCAGTCCACACTTCCTTCTGGGCTCAGATGTCAAAGCTCTATGGTTCTTGGTGCTTTCTGTTGGCCTCATCCTGTTCTCTTGCTTCCTGCAGACCCAGACCAGGGCTTTGCTTCACCAGGCCTTTAAGATCACAGCTCTGTTGGCTGTGCCACCCGCCCTGCCTGCCAACCGGACTCTGAATGTGTGTCCAGAATCTGTCCATTCCTCTCTGTCCTCGCAGCCAAGGCATGCCTGGACTGAGCCCCCATGGTCTCCTACTCACACACAGCACTCTTTTAGTCATCTCCTGCGAGTGTTGTCTCTCCCCGCTTCGTGTGTACGTCCGCCCCCATCTCTTTTCTAAGCTGCAGTCCAGCTTGCATGAACTGGATTCACATCTAGCAGTCACCACTGTCTAGCACTGTCTAGCACTGCCGTGGAGTGAGGAGAAACCTGCGCAGCCTGAGAAGACCCCATCTAAACTGGCTGCCCTTTCCTGGTGACCTGTCCCCTCTTGCTTCCACAGTGGACTCCTTCTGCTCGCCTGGAGGACACGGGCGTGTCTTCCTCCTGAGGGAACACAGCCCACACCTCTCATGTGGAGAAATTTTTTCTCATAGGCGTGAACCACTGGTGCCTGTCCCGTTCTGAACATTTTCGTTTCCATTCTCTAATATTATTAAAGAGCTTTCTAATGTTTAGTTTTCATTCAGAGCTGATGCAAAGAAGACTATCCTGAACACACCCCTCGCCACCAACCTGTCACGTAACTTAGAACCATTAGCATTTCTGATTTTATCGCTAGGAGACTGGCTCCTCAAAGCAGACACAGTTATCACAGAAAGAGGAAGAAGTAAAGGCCAGGAGTGGCAAATGTTTACGGGAAAGCACAGAGGGACGTAGGAAATGAGTTCTTACCAAAGATGATCAGAGGTAGCTCCAGCCACACGGCCGCCAGGCGGAAGAGGAGAAATGGGGCTATGATCCCACCCAAGTCACACAGGCCTGAGCACAGGGAAACTCCGAAGTTCCTGCAGAATAAAACGTGGGGCACGCGTGTGCTATCCTGGTATCCTGCAAGGTGTGCGCAATGGAATTTTCCCCAGCCAAGGAAGCCCATTGTACCAATCCATGCATGGTTCACGCAAGCCTCCCATAGTCGCATGATTCCCCCCAATCATGTGATCCCACCACAGTCACGTGATCCACACAATCACGTGATCCCACTGTAGTCACGTGGCTCCCATAGTCACATGATCCTTCCGTAGCCAGCTGCTCACTACTCCAGACACACCCTGTCATCAGAGGTGAGGCCAGAGCCTTGAAGCAGGGTGGTGTTGACAAAAGCGGATTATTTAGCCAGCACTAGTTTCAGCTAGTATTCCCAGCCTTTACCATTTCAACTTTAGCGTCTTTGTACAAAACTCTAGCTCTGTCTGAAGACACTGATGTGAGCCACACTTCTACTGCAAACCGTGGCAGGCAGGCGGCAATGCAGAATGCAGCTAGAGCTCAGAGCGTAGCTTCTATACCGGCTGAATTCAGCCCAGCCTAATACAGCACCAAGCTAGGAAATGTTTAGCAACAGAGTTATTTATGGGGGGAAACATCATAAGGTGTAAGTTGGATTTACCGTAACGTTGTTGGGTATAATTCCGAATTGACCAAATAAACAATTTCAAAGGCCATGGTTATCCCCAGCCGTCCCAGGGTAGCAACGGTGGTCCGTAACCATGGTAGCCCTGCAAACACAAGACGGTGGATGGGGAGAGTCAGGGGTCAGATGTCAACAGCATTGTACAAAACAACGAAAGGCACTTGCAGAGGGTCCTCCTGACTCAAAGCTTGGTGAACTTTTAACACACGATGGAGGCTTCTAATATTTTAGAAGTATTTGAACAATAACCAGAAGACTTTAGCTAGGCTTTGCGCACTGGGATCTTTGGAATGGGACATCAATTCCATGTGCTCTCGATGGCACGTTGCATTCACTCTCTTCTTCCCTCATCCTGCTGCTCCCTCAAGAAATCATCTGAGAGGAGCCAGGTTCTTAGACAGTAGTAGATGCATACCTCTTAAAGAGTAACCAAGTGTCAAACATTCTCTAGGAGACACCATCTTCATCATCATCACCCTTCCTCCCTCCTTTCTTCCTGCCTTCCTTTTTTCCTTCCCTTTCCTTCCTTCTTTCATTGCACTCCTTCCTTTCCCTCCCTCTCTCTCTCCTTCCCTCCTTTCTTCCTTCCTCTTTCCTTCCTCTCTTCTTTCCTCCTTCCCTTCCCCCTCCCCCCGCCCCAACCCCAGTGAGAGCAACAAGGTCTTACTATGTGGCCCAGGCTAGCAAAAGTTCCAGCCTCCTTACTGCTGGGATTGTAAGCATGTGTCACACACTGTCTTCTTTGTTTTAAAGGCAGAAGAAATGTAATTAGAACTCTAATGAGCAGACCTTTAAATTTCTTAAGAGTTGCACAATTTATGTTATTCTTCCCTAGAGGACTTGGAAAAGAGTCAAGTCTTTAGATTACAGCCAGTCTTTAGAGTAGGCAGACCATGATACCCATGAAGGATTGACCTGGTTGGCGCTAACTCTCCTACTGAATTGACTAGTTATTTACATTTCCTCCTGTGTATATGTGTGTGTGTGTGCATGTGTGTTTCAATTGTTGGTGTTTGTATATATTCCGTGGGGCAACAAGGGCTTGAACCCAAGGCCTTGCAATCTTACTTGGCTCTTTCCCTGAAGCCTGGTACTTTACCACTTGAGCCACAGCTTTTGGTAGTTTTGGCTTTTGGTAGTTAATTGGAGATGAGAGTTCTACTCAGGCTGGTTTTGAACAGTATTCCTTCGATCTCAGCCTCTTGACTAGCTAGATTACAGGTGAGAGCCACCAGTGCCCAACTCAGTTTTTTGAGTTTTGTTCTTTTTTGCCCACCCCTTCCCATCAAACAGTTCTAGCCTCAGTTGGAAATCTAAACAGGAGCCAGGCACCAGTGGCTCATGCCTATAATCCTAGCTATTCAGGAGGCTGAGACCTGAGGATCTTGGTTTGAAGCCAGCCCAGGCAGGAAAGTCCATGAGACTTTTATCTTCAATAAATTACTCAAAAAAAAAAAAAAAGGCGGCAAAGTGGTGCTGTGGCTCAAGAGGTAGAGTGTTAGCCTCCAAGACCAGAAAAAAGGACAGAAAAGCTAAATATGCACTGAAGTTGTCCATGAAACTTGTTTATAAAAGTCTTGATTTAATAAAACAACACCCATGGCTGAAGCATCTGAGCTGATAATGAAGGGGTCTGTGCTCACAGCCGTCTCTCCTCTCCCCCTGAAGAGCGGCAGGCGCCGGCCCCGCCGGCCCGGAGCCAGGGCTCTCTGGGTGGGACTCCCACTTTCCGCCTCAGCAGGTTTTCCAGATTTTGGTTAGCATTCAGAAATGTGTGCTGGAAGCAGCAGGCTACAGATGAGGACACAGCCAGAAGTGTTTCTTTTTCCAGAATTTCATTCTCAGGCCTGAACAGTTGGGCTCAGTGGAGGGAGGGTGATTTCTAATGTGATTTCTGTGACATTGAGCTCTGCTCTAAATCACTGAGAACAACCAACCTGGTGATTCTGCCTGGGGGCCTGTTGTACCTGTCTGTCTATGGTGTCACACAGCCCTTGGGGAAGAGCCCTGAGTGCTAATTCAGCAGCCCCTGGAGACGGGCACCGCAGAAGCGCAAAGGCCTCTGTATAGTGGAAGGACCGCTCGTGCCGGGGAAGAACTTCAGACACATGTTTAGTCACTTTGGGGATTTGAAACATATTCTTGCTGAGCAGTCATACATGATGTATGACTTAAAAGCAGTCAGGTCTGAAGAGTGTAAACTGCATCTGATATAATAACTAAAATACGGTAGATTCAAGGGAGAGCTCACCTGGTGTAATGCCTTAGAAAGGCAAAGTCAAAGTTCAGTAAAACAAAACACCAGGAAGCAAACACACAAAAGGGGTGGAGTGGAGTGGAGGGGTGGACGAATGGAGAAGAGAAGAGAGGGAGAACGCAGTCAAGAATGAAGGGTAGCCGGGCGCCGGTGGCTCATCCTAGCTACTCAGGAGGCTGATATCTGAGGATCGCGGTTCAAAGCCAGCCAGGGCAGGGAAGTCTGTGAAACTCTCATCTCCAATAAACACTCAGAAAATCAGAAATGGTGCTGTAGCTCAAGAGGTAGAGCACTCACCTTGAGCTGAAGAGCTAAGGGACAGCGCCCAGGCCCAGGGTTCAAGCCCCATGACCGACAAAAAAAAAAAAAAAAAGAAAAGAAAAAAGAATGAAGGGTATATCTTACAAAATTAAGAAAGCGAGGGAAGGGGTGAGTAGGGAAGGGATGGGAGAGAATGTTGAAAGGGGCGGCATTGATCAAGATACATGATATTCATAAGCTGCCTTGTTCAATGGCAACTCCTTTGTGCACTACTTAAAGATAATTTAAAAAATTAAATAAAACCCCCAAATGACTAGAGCAGTGCATCTTCAGTCTTCCTGGGAACAATTCTAAAGCCCCTGTTGAAAAGTTACATCTAGGAGCTGAGGTGGGTTAGACTACGCAGACTTCTGCCTTCCACGCCCCATCCCTCCCCTCCGGTGCTGCCACCGTGGTTTGAGCGCGTGATCGTAAGCATATTCCAGGATCACGTGGAAAGCACCAGGCACTGAAGCCTTCTCAGCCACTCTAGGAACAGAGAGGTGTAGTTTCGCATGTCTGTCATAAGCAATGGGCCACACCAGCATTAACCTGTCGCCCCACACCCCCAGTTTCATATGCAAGGAACCCCACCCCTGAGAACAGAAGCCTCACGCCAGGGGAAATGCATTCTCAAGTTAAACCCAAAACAGAGTAAAATAGAAAGAGGTCAGAACTCTAATGAAACTTCCAATATCCTTTCATTTACATTCCACACTTCTGAAAGCAGGAATTGGATGCCTTATTTTGTTACATATCCCGCTTCCTAGGTTAGTAGCTGGTAATAAATACCAACTAGACACACATGCATGACTAGCTAGCACGTGACTCCTTCGACTATGTTAATTCTATGTAGAGGGTTGGATAGTACCCCTAAGAGTCATGGCTCCGGGCATCCATATTTGGAGATGAGGGCGGGGGAAGGTCTAGCCAGAGATAGGGGAGATGCCCTGAATGGGAAGAGCGGCAGCTGCCCTCAGCAGACAGCCGCCGGGGCTCCCTCCCTCAGAGCCTCTGGGAGGAGCTCACCCTGACACACCGCATTTCAGACCCCCAGCCCGGAGAGCTGTGGCGGGTCAACCTTTTCTAGACACCAAGTCTGTGGTGGGTTATTATGGCAGGAACAGGAGGCACTCAGGAAAACAAGGCAAACCCAAGCTCCCGCATCTCGCCGGCTGGTCCAGTGCGACAGGGCATGTGCATGTCTTTGTCTCGCCCTGTTCTGAAAATTGGCATTTCTGTCATTTTATTCCAGGAAGGTGTACCTGATGTCTTGGGAATTCATTAACCTGCACTCAAGTTCATCGAGTGTCCAGTTAATGGCTGTTCTGACCTCTGCGCCTTTCCATCAGTCTTGGAGAAAAACAGCTTCCCACACAGACACAGAAGGTAGCCCAAGAACTGGCTCTGCACATGTGCACCACACTCAGCTGTGGAGGTGACACTTGCTCTAACCAGCACATTCCTGGGTTGTTTTTTTCTCCTAATGGCCTCCTCCTTCCAGCCTCCTCCATGGTCAATGAAAGAGGTCACCTGGACCATGTCCACTACAAACCTGGGCTCATCCCTCCTACCTTCCCTTTGTATTGTGATCTCCGCCACCAGCCCTCAAGCTCTGGAAAATTGATCTTTGCAACAACTCCCTCCCATCCCGGCTGCCCACCTGTCCACCTTCATCCCGTGTCTTCACTCCCTACTTCTCCACCACCAGTTCCCAAATTGTGGTGATTCTCCTCCTGAGGTTCACAGGACAAATCAAGCCCCTGATGAGGCCAGCAGCAACAGGCATGCTGGGAACCGACATCCCCCAGACCTTTTGGCCTAGATTCCCACAGCAACAAGGACAAAACCCACACATATTTTCGTGATTTGGGGGAGGTGACAGGCGTGGCAGCTGTGTTTACTGAAGAGCACCAACTGCACTTGGGTCTGAAAGGAAACCGGATCAACTCCTGGCACCCTGCCTTCACTCTGCTTCTGTCTCCTCTGTCTCGAAACTTCAGCGGATGATCACTGAAGGAATGTCTGCCTACAGACGGGTAAGGCCGACCTGTCCCACCCCGGCTGCCAACCTGAAGTCACAGAATGGAGGCCTCTCACTGTCAGTGGAGACAAAGTCTCCTGAGACAGAGCTGAGATTCTCCATCACTGTCCTAAGCCTGCAGTCAGCTTGGAATCCTGGAAGGTAGAGCTTCGGTCAGGAAGCAGGAGAGCCAACAGTCAGACTTCCCAGGTCCTTCTTGCAGGACCAGGACTGATATCATGTGTATCCAGACCACACTTGGAAAGAGACTGCTTAGTCACACACAGCCCTCATCCCTGCCCCAATTCTCCCTGTGTTTAAAACTAAAGCTCATGTCGGGGTGACCTGAGGAGGGGCTAAAATGCTTCATTTCTATCTTCCTCACATGGCGGCTTTATGAAAATCCTTTGCTCCCTTTCACCAATGCTTTCATTTGGTTTCTTTGAGGAGGATGAGCAGACCTGACATGCTGGCATCCCCGGGTCAGGCCTTCAGTCTGGGACTCTGGTTACAGGAAGTGTGGAACACCTGCTTCTCTGGTTTCTGTCTGGTCCACTTGGTTTGCCACACCTGCCTGCTTCTGGCTTCCAGCAAGGCCCTTCCAGACTCTCTCCTCCTGTGGATTAATCAGTCTTTCCTCCCTCCCTCCCTTGCTCTCTCTCTTGCTTTCGCCTTTTCTCTGTGTGTCTAAATCTCATAAATGGTTCTATTAGTTTAGTGATCACAATGAATGGTGACAGTATTAGAGAGTCCATGTCTCTTTACGTGTCCTGCACCGTACGAAGCCGAGAACCACATCTCTCTTCTGTATGTCCCCTCGGTGTCCAGCCCAGTGCCAGCCATAAGATGGACACCCAGGAAACAATCAACCACATCACCAAAAGACGTCTGAGAATGGTGTCTAAAAGCAACCACATCCTGGTGAGCTACAGTCGGCAGAGTGTCCATAGCACCCACCCATGAGTCTACAACATGAGGAAGGAGAGCAACTTACAGGTCAGACGCCTGTCCTACACTGACGGAAGGCAACGTGAGCACAGCCGGCCCTGCATCGCGCCGCCGTCCCACGGCACGGCTCCTAGGGCCAAGACACCCCGTCCCGTGCCTGCTCCTTCGGACGCAGGTTTTGCCAAGTTCTCCAACAGCAGCCAAACACGTGTGGGGGGAGATTACCTTCCGGCAAGAATGCGGTGACCAGACACGCCACCCCGGCCACCATGTTGCTGGCTGCAAACGGGAGGCGGCGGCCCAAGCGCTCGATGGTCAACAGGATCAGGAGCGCGGCGGGCAGCTCCACCACTCCCGAGATGAAGAAGTCCACGTAGAGGTTGCCACCCACGATCCCCAGGCGCATGACGAGGCCTTGATAGACCACGGCGCTGGTGAACCTGCAGCACCAGCGGCAGAGACCAGAGAAGTGCACGTGAGAGACGGAACAGCGCCTGGCCGGAAGGGGTTTGACTCGAGCCTTGAAACCCATCCTCGCAGGCCACGCTTACCAGGCAAACATGAGTATGAGCGTGCACTTCCGCATCTGGGGGGTTCTCACCAGATCTAGAAAGGACGGGTTGCTGATCTCCTCATCTGTGACCGTGATCTAGATGGGAAAAGCAGAGTTCAGTAGCAAGGTATGGCTAGAGACACCTGCGAGGGAGAACTTGTTAGTAACTGGATTCAAGGCTACAGAAAAAAAGTGATTTTTTTTTTTTAGAGCTTTAGGATGACAGAAGGTTATAGTCAAATACTTGGGTCTCTCGTGAAGTACAATCCAGAGTTTTATTTTTTTCTCACGTGGCTTTTTCGTTTTATTAAGTTTTGTATTGTTATTACAGAGGGGTTACAGTTACATATGTCAGACAATGAGTACGTTTCTTGTTGGACATGCCACTGCTTCCTTTGCCCTCTTCCAGTTTTTCCCTCCAGTACCTACCTGTGAGTTGTATAGTTTATTTTCAATATTGTGTCTAGTGAGTACCATTTTGTTCACTCACAAAATTATTTTTCTGGCTTGCCTGGGGTGGGGGCTTCCACCATTATATCTTTTTTTTTTTGTCATGGGGCTTGAACTCTAACCTGCAGATGCAAGAATCTGACCCAGAGCAGATCCTTATTGCGATCACCTGGACATGCACTCTCAACAGTAATTCAGAGATCACACAAGCTTGATGTCTACACCTTTATGTTTGTGCCACGGACAGCCACTCCCACAAGAGAAGCCATGAAATGACTGTCTCTGGGTCACTGCCTTCCCAGATCCTCCCAATGCAGCATTATTTATTCTCTATCAAGCCGTAGTTCCCCTCAACTTCCCCCTCCCCTAGCACATTTTGAAGCTTCCTTTTTTTTTCCCCTGATAAGAAAGCCAATTGTCAACATATATACTATCGTTTTTCTTACTTGGTAAGGCATAAAGTGATGATCTTAGAATTAATAATTCCTTAGATTCAACAGAACAGTAGCACTTTCCTTGACAGTTCCTGGAAGACTGCTCGTGGATTCCACCATCCACTTCTTCCCTCTGTCTTCTGATGATGCAATCTATGGGATTTTAGTTGAATGACTGACTAGCTAGTCTTTTGTTCTAGGCCTTCAGCTGCAGTGGTCCTGTGAGTGGAACCGTAGCTGTCATGCATACAGTGAATGACTCCATCCTTGGGAAACGGCTTGCCCTTCATTTATTGTCTTCTCGTTCCTGAGGGAAGCTGCTGGTGAGCTACCCAGGACCCATCACAGGTGATGGGGGAGATACTGGGTGAAGGGAATGCAGGTCTTGAAGAACCTCATAGACCAAAGCAACCGTGGCAGACTGGGCAATTCACCTCTCGGGGACAAGGAGCAAAGAAAAACTCTTCCAGTCTTTTCAGACTAGAAAGCAGATTTGTGCCCTATGTAATAAAAAGCTAACCATCTAAAATACAATACGCCAATGAGGAACTACTTTTATGTTGACCCACTGTTTCCAAAATAAAGCAAAAGTACCAATATAGAAGGTGAGAACTTGCAAATTCCAACAAATTATCAAAATTATCAACATATTTTCCACAGCAGGGTACAGGTAGCTTATACCTGTAATCCTTGCTACTCAGGAGGCTGAAATCTGAGGATTGTGGTTTAAAGCCATCCTGGGCAGGAAAGTCTGTGAGACTCTAGAAAGCCAGAATTGGAGCTGTGGGTCAAGTGGTAGAGCACTAGCTTTGAGCAAAAAAAAAAAAAAAAAAAAAAGAAAGAAAGAAAGGAAGGAAGGAAGGAAGAAAAAGAAAAAAGAAAGAAAGGAAGAAAGCAAGCAAGCTCAGAGATAGCAACCAGGACCTTAGTTCAAGCCCCAGGACTGGCACAAAAAACGAAATATTTTCTGCAGTGAGTTTTTCTATATTACCCATATGAAAATGACTAATATGTAGGGAGGGGTATAATAATTGTCAGATTCTAAACGAATTCTCATCAAAGCTCCAAAATGTTGGTGGTTGAATTTGAATTAATACATTTTAAAAACTTAAGGCTTAGGATATTAGAGATTAAAACATCAGGAAAGGTAGCTGAGTCAAGATTTGGACCCAGGAAATCAGATTAACCCTCACACAGCAATCTTGAATATGTAGAATATGAATATGGAGTCCATAACACTTGGCAATTAATGGTCACTTCTGCATATTTTTCAGAGAAGAACATTATGTACTCGATAAAAATGGAATCATTAAGTTCAAAGACTGTTTCATGAAAGAGTTAAATTTGACTAAAATAACTCAGATAAATTATATTTTAGTCAAAGAATTTATTTGAAGGGTCTTGGATTTCAGGATTAAAGACTAGAGAGCATTAAGACAGGTTTCCTCCATGAGAAAACCCTGCCTCTGTGTGTGTGTGTGTGTGTGTGTGTGCGCACCTGCGCACGGGCACGAACACCAGGCCTTCTTGTCTTTTGTTTGGGCTTTCCCACAACCCACACTTGGGTGTGCTGGATCATATTGGCTTGGAATCTTTTCTTCTGGCTCAGCATTGCTCCTGGATCACTGGCTCCCTCGCTACTGCTCCATCCACCTGGCAATACTCAAAGTTCATCAGGGGAGCGGACAGCTACTCTTCATCTTCTTCTTCTTCTCTGCCTATAGCCACGACTTCTTCCTGCCAGATAAGATTCTGAGCAAAGTCACCTTGGTTCAGGCCCACGTCCACATCCTTGAGTGGAAGGAAAATCCCGCATCACGGTTTCATAGATAACTCAGCATGAGAACACCCTTGTGGGTGGTTCCATTCATCTGCTCTAGTGACATAGTCCTAATCTGAGCCAATGAGAGAGAGAGGCCTGTGGTCCAATTCAGGCCAAGGAAGAAAGGATTTCTGGGAAAACCCTTCACTACTTTTAATTCAGAGGTTTCTGACAGCAACTCCTCTCACTCACTTCAGGGAATGAATGAGGAAATGGTACTAAGTAGGTATCAGCAGCCACATGGTAGCCGTGAGGGAAGCAGTGTTAGAAGCCAGGCTGCCCTGCCAGCAGAGGAGAGAAGGGGCCGCGCAGGCTTGGTGAGGCCTGTTCAGCCAACCCTGGACCCTGCTGTGACCAGAATTCCAGACACAGTGCCAGTGAATGTCCCCATTGTCCAAAGCCATTTAAGTTGGTTTTCTCTTCCTCCTGTGCCAAAAGCAGAATTCTCTAAAGAATCTAGTCGGGAACAATGCTTTTGCTTCAATAACTATTTTAAGTTAGATAATTTTATTGTTAAACTAATTGCTCCCATATTCCAATTCACTCTGCAAGAATACTTATAATGAGTTTTCCTCTCAAACATTGGAAATTTGGACCCAAGGAGCAACACGACCTCTGCATTTCCAGAGCACAAATTTAATGCTTAATGTCAAATCCATCTTCCCAAAGAATGCTCGGTGCTGATGAAGTAACCGAGACTCTAAAACGGACCTTCCCTGTCTGGTGAATGAGAGGATTAAGAGTACTTCCAAGTGAGGGTTTGGTTACGTTTCAGAACAAATCCAGCGGGTCTTGGATTCACTAACATCTTCTCCACAGTGTTTCTGGAAGATGACCCACTTTCTGGGTGTCGGAAGTCCTCGGAGACACGGAGCTGTATCTTGGATGGAATTCACCCATCAAGGGGCGCCAGCGCACAAGCAATGTGGGCTGGGCAACTGTTCTTTTACGTTTCCCTCTGAAGCTTGCGTTTCTTCTCAATTTCCAAAGGCTTATCAAATTTTGCCTAGACTGAGCCAGATACAAAAGAGCCAGAATGCTATTCTAGGCTATTGTCTATTTATGAAAAAAAAAAAGCCCAATGAAAGGATAATCTACATCAATAAAATTAAACGGCTCAAAGTTCGGCCTCAGTGAGTTTTGCCAAATGTATAGAGTTATATACATTCACCATCATGGTACGGAATCCACTGACTCCCCCCCCCTCATGAGACCCCAGAGTTCCCTGTAGCTGGTCTTCTCTACCCACTCCAGACTTGGAGCAATCCTGCTTCCTGTCATGATGGCTTTATGTGGATTTTCACAGAACGAGAGCCATGCAATGTGCTGTCTTCTGAACTGGCAGTGCCTTCCCTGCCCACCACACAGAGCTCAACCAGCCCCGATTCACAGCCAGCGGCGGGCGGGAGGACGGAATGGCTCTGGGCAATATTTGTCTGTTTGGAGGCCTGTTGCCTAGAAATGCCACTCACGGAGAAAGGTCTTGCTGGAGGCCCTGCTGAGGCTGTCCCTTTTCTTATTTATTGCTCAGCTGAATTGCTGTTTGCAAATGGATTGTCTTTTAATTCTGCCAAGACTTTGTTTTCTGTCAACAATAATGTACTCTAAGCTAAAAAGAGTATTTTATTCAACTCACTCTGATGAATTCAGTTCCTTTTAGTTTCTTCCCTGTGCCTTGCTGAAACATTTCTACAAGTGGATGCTGCAATTTCCATTGCCAAGAGAAAGACATTACAAATAGCACCTGTTCGAAAGATGGTGTTCAGAGATCCCACACGGAGGGCTAGGTTCAGGTCATAAAAATGACCACTAGCGAGGGGCAGGCCAGGGGTATGCTATTTGACTCAGAACTTTTTTTTTCATCATTATGTTATTAAAACTACATGAGTCTTGGTTTTCTCCTCAGCAGCATGAAGATATTTAGACTCCCTGAGGCATTTTGAAGACTCAATTAGATAATACAAGTCAGGAAAAGTGGCTCGTGTGTGCAGCCCCCGATTCTCGGCAGTCTGTCCCCTGGACGTCGCCCTTCTTCTGTCTGTCTGCCCTTCATATATAGCCAGGAAGCTGAGGGTTCTTTGCCTGGGAAAAAGATCTCCACACATGTTTCTATGGAAACACCTTTGTGTTTGCACTCAACAAATCTTTCTTTCTTCTTTTTTTAAGCAGTTACAAGGACAGAGCTTCTCCTTTGCAGTAATAAAACAAACTTAGAAGCATGTAAGTCACATTGAATCTTGTATTCCGTAGGTTTTTTTTTTTTCAATTTTGAAAGGAGATCTGGGTAATCATTATTAAGCATTATTTGCCAACTATTTCTGAGTCTCTTCCTCCTCCTCACACTAGTATATGGCTCAATAAAATTGCTCTTTTGGTCCTTCTCCCAAATC